TTTTTTTTTTTTTTCGATAAAATAAGATATTTAACCGAATGTGCAGAAAAATTTGTATCTATGATGCATAATTTAATTGCGAATGTATCTCCGTGCGCTCGGCCGGAAGTATCAGTAACGGTACGAACATTTTTGCCTCGGATATATATTCGTTATCTACCATATATACAATCATACATGATATATATAGCTCGCAGATATCCTGTCATTCGTATTTCTAATATCTTGCAATCTTTTAATCCCAATTCATGTATCATTCCGAAAGTATTTCTTCGATCTTTAACAAAGTTACATGAACTTTATTAAGAAGAAAATAGATTCATAAACAATGAAAATAATTAAATTAGATGTTAATGTAGTTGTTTAAATGATGAAACGCTATACACGATTCTGAGTGTCATTGCACCAATCAATCCTGCTATTTGATACTTTAACGCATAACGAAAGTATATCGCGAAAAGTACTGTAACAGACATTGAACTGTGTAGACGCGATGGAAAAAAATATAATTACATAATTATGGGACCTTGCGATTAAAAGAAAAAGCAATCCGGTTTTATAAGCGCGCTGTTAAAGCGAGTTCCCTCGAGGTTGTCAACGGAACCATTATGAGAGTGACGGGGCAAGAACTTGATAACTATTAATGTAATAAATACGAGGAGGCGGACGAGAAAATATACTTCAATTAAATTACACGCTTTTCAAGTTATTCCAACATTATTATTAAATATAAATTTCCAAATACATTATACAAAGTGCATTGAATGCCGCCAAATTGTCTCGTCAAATTTGTCCCCTCGATGTCGTTTTTCAACAAATTTTCGTCGTTCCGCGCATATATAAGATCGTCGATGATCAATTTTCGCAGCTTCGGGTATCGACCGGTGTCCATTATTGGTACTTTATGCTCGATTATCGTTCATCTAGAATTCTCGTTAAGATATCACTTTACGACATATCGGATTCATCGATCGTTCGATCAAGAACAGGAACGCGATGCCTCTTCACATACACAACCACGTCGAGCAGATGCGTATATACGTGCGATGGCCTTAAGGTAGACAGGTGCAAGGACGAGGAAATAGATATTACGACTGTCAAAGAGTGACGGATCTTCGAAGAGAGTTTATTTCGAAGCTACGAATCGTATTACGTCTTCCACGAATAGATTCTCCGTAATGAACAAGATCTCTATTTCTCTGATCGTGTCACGTTAGTTTCCTTAATTATACAGTAGAGACACATGTAGCAGTAGTGCATCAGCCAGTCCATCAACTTGCTACATTTTGCAGCAGTCTGTCCGGGATCCCGTGAGAATTTCTTGCCAGAGAGAACTTTTATCACTTTCTTCTATACGGTTAGACCGTTACGTAATCGTATTACATTTGCAATGACAAAGTAAAATTCATTATTTAATATTTTACCAAATATAAATTAAAAAAATTATGAAACTATTGAAAATTACTTAATTAGCGTTAATCTATACACGCTCAAGGCCAAGATAATATTAAATGCAAAACAACTACTTAATTGTACGTAATGTTGGATTATCGTGCATTCCGTTATCCGTGCATTGAACAAAATACGACAAAATACGACAAAATACGACAAAATAAAGAGATAAAGATGATATTTCTTCAATATAACATTGGCCTTCGTATTTTTTTAACTAGTAACAAGATTACACGCACGTGAATGTTAATTATTTTGTCGCGATTACGTATCTTGGTTCAAAATTAGTTACCAGAAATTTCTGGTTCAAAGTGTAACTTTATTATATCAATTGTACAATGTTGCACCGAGTAAAAAGCAATTTTTTGACTAAAAAGCAATCTGGAATCTGAAAATTTCATCGTGCATCGCGTTCACCTAGAGAATAAAAGCGCGTGTGCTGTTTCATCGAACATATACGAAAGATGATTATTCTCGAAGGAATTCCAAATCCAAAACGTAATCCCGTGTTCCAAATTTTTACCGAGGTGGCTTACGGCAAACAGTTGTAAATCATTTCGTGGCTCGCACCTACGGGATTCTAAAAGGAACCGGGCTATTCAAGAGGAGACGTCCCTCGTCTAGACGGTGATTCTATAAACACCGTATATAAGCGCCGTGTACGCTAGTTGAATGCATGCAAATGAGTATTAAAACGTTTTCTATGTACCCGTTTATGTATGTGCTCGTCGCCTATTTACCGGTGGGTAAACAACAGAGAGAGAGAAAGAGAGAGTTTTCTCGTCCAACAATAGACGCATTATGTTACCCGTCGTATTATGCATATACTACTGCCGGCTATATCGTGATACGCACGTGTGTATAAATGTACGTGCGCGAAATACACCGAGGCATTACGATTCTACGGCGCGAACACCGTGGATCGCCTTTGTTGGCCTCGCCTTAAAAATACGCGAGGGCCCCCATTTGGATACTGGAGAAAATGAAAGCTCGTGCGTGAACGAGAGTGACGGTAAAGGATATGGTAAGGAGTGGACGTGACCGCAGACCACCCTATGCATCGCTCTTATGACCCTTTAGGTCCTCAGTTACGTATCCTTACTTTCTTCTTACCGCAACTTTTATCCTAAATACGCTTTATATCCGAAACTTGTATGCAAAATACTTAATACCTGAAAAAAAAAAATACGAGGATACGAAGTACAAAGTAATCAATGTCATCGTCGTGAATAAATTAAATATGATGTCTCCGAATGCTGGTATCATTTCGAGTAGTATCTCAAAAAAGTCGAAAGGAGAATTGGCGAGTTTTAAGTTATCTAATTTCAGTCGTGCGTAAGTGTCAAACATAAACGATATTGCAAAGTAGGAAATGAAAGCGTTCCAAACGTTGCTTGTAAATTCCTCGATATTTTGTGCCATCGTAATTGATAAAATGCTCATCCTTTCGAGATCGTTTCTTCGATTTAGATGTAGAATACGATGAAAGATATTCTCGTGGATTTTTAGATATATATATTCGATAATATATTCGTATAGACGATCAACGAAGTTGCGTGCAACGCGAAGGAATATACGAATAGAGGTATGAAAAGGTATTCGTTTTAAAGAGAACGACTTTGTTATCGAAAACACGCTTTCTTGGAGATGTCATGCGAACCTTCGTCCAGCAATGGATGCATTATATTACACCCCGCATTATGCAGAGTACGATGTACACGTAAGAATGCCTTCGGCAGACGCAGCATGAATATCAAATGTTCCTTATTGCCTGGTGTGTGGGCACACCCTAAAATTTAAGACGATGGACGACGCCAAGCAGAAGAAAACGAAAGCCTTGTGTACCTTTGTCGCCCGACGTTTCTCTTTCACGCGATATTTTTGGACCTCTGTCCGAAGAATATTACGCAATTCATTCCCTTTTAGTTTCTTTTCCACGCGTGGTTTTTCTTTTTCTTTTTTTTTTTTTTATTACGTCCAACAGATTTGCTAACAAATCCAGGAAATTATTTCACTTAGGAAGTTAAAAATCTCTTTCTTATTGTTATTCTAGAAACAATAACCGATGAAAGATAACGACTTACGTAACCACGACTAATTTAGAGAAACTATACTACGATGAAACCATATTATGTTCATTACTTTACGAAAATTTTTCGTAACGATGCATCAATTCACGTATAAATTAAATTAAAAATATATTCTACGATGGCCACGATATTCATCGACGATGAAGGCGTCACGTCTCTGTCGTAATAGATTATCGTTTATTAACATGCACGATGCAACATCGTAAATAAAGAAGTGGATAGAATATAAAATGTCTAATCGACTCGTACAAGTACATTTCAAAGATACCTTTTTCTCGATGACTAAATGCTAACTACTTTTATGTAAATGCACTTGAACTATTAAATCGAACTCACGATTTTAAATATAACTTTTACAGCTCGATATAACAATTTTTTTATTCAACAAGAAAGTTATTGTAACGATTTTCTCAATGAAATTTGGGTTAAACATTAGGAATGATTATTTATTCGCGAAATAAGAACAAACGGGATCTGATATCGCGTGAAAAAAAGACGACTTCCTCGTTTTCTATCAAGTAGGAAGCAGTTACGTGTTTTCTGTTACGCGAAGCGGAAGCATCGTGAAGTATCGTGGGTTCGGTGGCCGGTCGAGGCTTCTTCGACGCGGTTGATATTCCTCCACGTGGAAAAAGAATAAAACATGTGCTTTGACTCTTTTATAAGAAACACACTTTATGAATTTCACCGACCCTTTTTTCCTTTTATCTATAAAAGGCAATCATATGCTTCTAAACGAACTATAATTTGAAACGTTAATGCAACACACCCTCCATTAAGGATTATCGTGTAAAATGCAAAGCTTAGCTCCGTATAATCTCTCGAATAATAATTCAAGTATCCAAAGTGTTATCTTTATTTTTTAATAGATAACTTGGGAATCGGATAATTTACTTGCGATTAAGAAGTTCAACTATCGATGAATATTGTTAAACAAACGAATATGAAGATGAATACGAAGCGCAAAAAGAACGGCACTTCGTTTCGAAGATCGAGGTTAACATCTCGTCGACCTCCTTTCATCGGGATGCAACATACAAAATTCGATGCGTGACATCTTTCACTTTGGCGCAGAAAATTCGTTTCGCGCATACAAAGAGATCAAGTTTTGTGAATGGACCAGGTAATTCTTTCGGCCACTTTTGACCAAAAGGAAGAATCTCTTTAAAGGGGGCGATGATTGACGAAACGGACTTACGACACGGAATATCAATGAAAACGAAGCCTGATTCGCATGACAAGAGACGGAGACACGCGACTCTTTACGGGATTCTTTCCAGAAACAATCGATATCATTGTTCGAGAAGAAAAAGTAATATCGTTCTAGGGTGCATTGGTTATCTCGAACAATTAATTTCAAATAAAGCTTATACTTAATTAGAGCAATATAATTATATTTAATTAAATCCAGTTAACGGATGATAATAACTTGCCATGCTTCGACAATTCTTTTCTTTTGTTTTCGCTTTCCTTGAGCATACGTATATATATACGTGTTCGATGCAATAACACGTAATTGGTCTTCATTGACAGTATCTGTTCATGATACAAACTACACGTGATAAAAATGAAAGATTCGCTGAAAATTCATTCAGATAATAATAGAGAAAGGAAAGAAAGCTGCTTAATATTTTTTCATCGATTTCTTACGATTAATCGCAATTCCCATCGATTCTTTTTACATTTCGAGAAACAAAATCGCTCGTTAATCCAAATCCAAAGTCCAACTGTTCGTTTCAGATATCTCGTTGGCTTTATTTACCAAAGTTTCTTTTTTTCAAAAAACCGCAGAAATTCTTTTTCTGCCAATCTCAAAGCGATATTACAAACGTAAAAAAAAAAAAGAAAAAAAAAAAAGTCATCAGCCAAGATTATTCCTAACACCACGCGTTTTTTCGCTCCAGATAAAACACGCATCCACGTTCATCCACGAACGGCATGGAAGAAAAAGATAGCCGGCCGATCGGCGTAATCGATCTCGACAGGTAATTATTACGATCGGTTTGAAAATAAATCGATTCCGTCAGCCGGGTCGTCGCCGGGCAACCGTGGATCGTTGTGAAAAACGTCTGTTAAACGGCCTAATAATAAGATCACGACGAATAACACGCAGAGGTTCGATCTTGGGAATCGAGGATGCGCCTCATCGGGATCGATTTGCGCATCGAGCACGCCGATCCAGCCGCTGTACAGTTATCCGTAATATCGGCATTCGTTTATCCGTGGCCGCTACTTACGGGTTATCTGCTCGCCTCTGCGGTAAGAAGGTTGTCCATATTATAAGTCATCCGCCGTATGTGGGACACGTTCGCGTCTTCCATATGGTCGAAGGATGAACGTGTAACGTCCGCGATCGCGCGTGTCGATAAATCGGTTTCGGGACAACGGTGATGAAAACCGTGACGTTAATAGGATCGAGTTCACGTCATATTTATTTATAACGAAGATTCGTTTCATAGACTTTTGAGAGAGAGAGAGAGAAAGAGAGATGATTGGAATCCGTTGGTTTGAAGACACACTTGATCTCATCATTGGTGACATCACTGGTGGATTCTATAATGAAATTCTTGCAACGGAATTGTCCACATCGTCCCTCATGCGATGCGAGATAGATTGTTTGGTATGAAATAATCGCACGGTGATTCGATTTTAGAATAGCCACAGAATGGAACGCGTGTATCGCTTCTGGACGATGCAGGCATTCTTGCCTCTCTCCCCTTTTACATTGGTCGGGTCGTGTGATTAGAATGATTCTCATCTGTGCACCGACCAACCTTCTTGCCGCGCTTCGAATATCCGTTGGCCGCAAATTGTGCGCCGCGAAATTGCGCTTAATAAGAGCACGTCGATCGAACAAGAATTAGAGTTGGAGAGTATTGAACGGTTCCTGGCGTTTTCGCCAGCCTACCCTTTTTTTTGCTCGACATTTTGAAACCTTGACCGTTGTACATCTTGATGCATCGTTTGGATCATTCGTAATCTCGTTTCACGATCGAAAGTTGCGCGTTCTGGGTGGTCTAGGATAGAAATAACGACGAGATCAAAGTCTATCGAGGAAAAATAGAACGAACGAAGAGTCGGTGCGTTGATAGATCGATTCGAGTTGCCGAGATGATTCGATCTCGTGGAATTTGATGCGGATCTAGATAACGAAAAGCACAGAAATCGTAACAGTACAGATATGAAATATATCCACTTTTCTCTCTCTTTTATTTCACGAATCGAAACATCGAGTTTGAGCAATTTTTTAGACGAACTTTTTAGTGAAAGGAACCGTTCGAAATTTCATCTTCGAAGCGGGAAAATTTCCGATGTATTTGCTTTTTGATTCCAATCGAGAACGTATAGAAGCCCCGAGATAAACTCAATTACAGACGCGTGTCCAGCGGCTGTGATTACACGCGTTATGAATGAAATACTAGCGTACACGCTTCGAGCGATCCGAGACAAACATCGTCGATCTTGCACCAAGATACAAGCCACCGACATTCACGGACAAATTTTAGCGTTTACGTCCGATCTTTAATCACGCTGGCGCCTAACGGAGACCACACTATTATTTAGCCGTACGTTGAACGCGAGGAGGGGCTTGATCCAGCTGTAATTTCAGCGTTGTCTTAGAAATACGGGATGGAACCCGTTCCTTTGTACCGAGTAATGCAGCAAAAAACCGACATATCACAGGAAACCGAGGATGCCTTTTTCTTCTTTTCTTTGTTCAACGATTTACACACGGACGAGAAATGACAGATGGATGGTCTCCGCGTCTAATCCGCGTATGGTTAATTTAATCTTCGCGGTAAATGAAATACGATAGTAGAAAGGGTGTATTTAACAGCAAAGATGATAAATAATAATATCGCGTAGATAAGGGAATTCTTTTTTCGCGCGACGAGCAAAGAAAGTAATGTTTAATTCATTACGCGCAGATGTTAAATTTTCATTAGCATTCTATTAATTTATTAATAGAAATTAAAAAACCAAAGAAGAGAAAACTTGCCGTATAATGAAAGTACGACGGGATCAACAAACGTATCTTTTCCCTGAGAAGAGAAAAGATTTAACGATCGTCGTTTAATCGGGAGTTGAATCAAGAAGGAATTTTTACGAGTTTCGAGAAAGGGACTCGAGCATATCGAAACCCGTCTTCTTTCTTAAAAAATACGTATAAAAAGTAACTGTAAATCCGACACCGTTCAAGCCATTCCTCCCGTTCAACTAATATCGACTGTTTTTCGTGATAAACTTGTCGTTAGTTCCACCGAACGAGCATAAATTCATACATTCACTGTTCTAATTATTATTCACGGACAATCGAATGCATCTGCTTCCGGGGATTGTGTTTCGTCTTCTAGAAACATTCGAAAATGATGCGCTTTTTATTAATACCTCCTCCACCAATTTTCAAATGAAATTTTTTCAAAGACCGCGTTAAAAAGTTGTTTCGACTTTACTTATTTTCACGAATTATAATTTTATTATTATATTAATTAAAGAACGTTGATCGCTAATCGATGAATATTTTAATATTTTGATATTGCTTTGATGACACGAGCGGACGAAGATGACTTTTAGATAGGCAAAGTAGGATAATCAAGATCGGTCGAGGTTTCGCGTAATTTGCAATGATAATGAGGCGCCCGATTAATTTAAGTCAGGTGGCAGCGAGGACTTAAGAGGCG